CAGAAAACCAGTTAGGATCAAGAACACAATTCCAGCAGCAGATACGTAAGCTTTTTCAACCACAAAAATTGAGATTTGTGTTTTAAGTCTGTTTGGGTTTGTCGTTCGTCGAGTAAAAAACCGGACGACGAGAGCGCTTTCAAGGAGGATATTGCTATTTAAAGTAGAGGGGAGGGGGGGTGAGGGATACACATATCACTGGTCGCCATTTTGGAGGGGATACACATATCACTGGTGATATGTGTGCGGGGATACACATATCACTGTGACACCGGGTTAAGAATGTCCTGGAGTAACCTAAGAGAACCCTAAGACTAAGGCGCGTCTAAAGGAAATGTAACCACGCCCAGGCACAAGGGTCACAGTTAACTACACGGACGATGGTCACAGGTATCAGGCAATGTCACAGGTCAAACGGGTTAGAGAAACCCACCCATAAAACTACTTCTTCAAGGACTGGCTAAACTAAGGTTACTGTGATCATGAAAAACTGCAGAGTTCGCAACACTTGGACACACTACTGCTTGTTCCAGTAAACTATCAATTTATTTACAACATGACCCGCGTAACGATTCCGTTATTTTCCTCAAGGAAAATAATACATATCTACAGGCACTGGTCAAAAAATCCATCCAAAAGGGCGAAATCGATTCCTTCTCTCCCAAATTCATTCATTTTGACCGAATAATACATTTTCAAAACTAAAATTTGAAAGGTGTGAAACAACGGGCAAGTAAGTTCTGTTAATCGAACGGATTTACGCTTTCAGCGAAGCTGCTCTGAGTCCGTTGTTAGCTAATCCTTGACTCTGGACTGATATTTTCTTCATGTGCTCAGCCATTCCAGGCAGCCGTGAAAAGTAGTTCCTTGCCAGGACATGTTTGTGGAGAATCTTGCCGATAAACATGCGTCCGTAAGCCTGCAAAACAGAAATACGACGCAATTAGAACGTTGGAAAAATGCAAATGCTTGCTTGATTCAACAGAATCAATCTGTTTCTTGGCTAAATTCGCCGACAAATACAGAAGTTTTCGATAATGATTAGACGCCTTCCGTGGCCAGTGTGACAGACTTTCCTTATATTGCGTAACCTAGTGTGACCGCATCTCTCAAACTAAAGAACACCAAAGATAGCGTGGAATCGCGTTAAGATAGCGTGAATTGGCCGTCGGCACTAAGAGCGACCGTTTTGCTTCCTCAATAAATGTAGATGTAGAATGTACATGTAGATGTAGAGGAGAAAAACGAGAGCTGAAGGCAACAGCAGCAACGAAAATAACAACAAAATGAAACAGAAAACAAGTACCTCGGTGACGTTCTCGAGCTTAGCATGTGCCGATGCCTCTTCTTTTGTGAGTAAGATACAATTCCAAGGGGACCACTCCTCATATTTGTTCCATCGAACAAGCACCAAATCGAACAGGTCCTCATGAGCGCTCAGCACACTCTGACTGTTCCAAATATTTTCCACCAGATAACGCAGGTCGGGCTCCTGAGAGAAACGAAAAAAATGACGACCATCAACCATAATGGACAGAACTCACTAGAGTCTTTAAAGTTTTAAGTAATCAGTTGTTAAAGTCAATGTCGGATTGAATAAAAATGGAGTTAAAAACAACAAATGAACCAAAATCTAATAATAAAATTATCGACGTTTTTCAACTAGGAACAAATTTATACCTGTAATAAGTAGGCGACCTTGGAACCGTCTTCAAAGCTTTCCTCAGAACGTCTCAGATCTTTCAACATGACTCTGTACTGTGAGAAGTCGTGCCGTAATCTTGCGTCGTTGTCAAGTTTGGTGCATTTTCTACACCTTCCGACGACCCTATATACCGAAGAGATAAACAGACATAGATCAGATCCTGAAAACCCAGGGCGAATGGTTCCGAAACAAATCACAAAATCCCAAAAAAGACGAACAAAATATATCCCTAATGTTTTCTTATTGGCGTATTAAAATATGGCAATAAAAAGTTATATTTTATGGCGTAACGAACGGAAAACTTTGGAAACATCATCTCCGCGTTTTCTCAAAATCATCAGATATTTGAGGCAGCGTGGCCGAGTGGTCAGCGCGCCGGACTCGCAATCCAGCGGTCCCGGGTTCGAGTCCCACCCTGACAGTAGTCCCGAGTTCAAATCCTCGGCCGTACTTGTAAATAGCCAACTGGTTTGCTTCCAGTCAGTTGGGATTCTTGACAATGTTATGTTGAATTTGAATTATTTGTTTCAGTTATTTGCACGGCCCCATTAGCCCTTGCGCTATAAACACTGCTGAGGGTAAATAAAGGGTTTATTCATACGGTGATTCAAACCACAGACCACACCCTGCCACGTACCTTGAATTTGACGAGAGTTGAAACTCCGTTGATGGTAGGTATGCATTGCAACTTGGACAGAAATAGATGTTTTTACGTAATACTGTTGGATCTTGCGGAACCTAAATAACCACACAAAGAGATCGGTGAGTTACTTAACACAGGCCATGGACAAAAAAGGGTGGAATAAGAAAAGCAAACGAAAGCATTTGGTTTCACGTTCGCCGTGATTCAGATTGGTTCAATATACTCGTAAAACCACGACTTTCCAGTAACAATATGTTACTTTCTCGGTCAAACAGGTGCAAACCCAACAACAAGTTATTAACTGATTTTCTAACTTTTACCGTTCTCGTCGTTCGGTCGCCAGGCTTCACTTTAAGTTCTAACTGGCTGGTTGAATTATGTTTTTTTTTAGGTTAAGTTACGGAAGCTAAAATAACTCACTGTTGATTTAATTTTAAATGCGCTGTAAAACTGAGGGTTGTACATGAAGAAAAATAAGTTTCGATTAATTCTACATACCTTGATCAGACGAGCCGCCTCAGGATTGAAAAGAGGTGTTTTGCAGTACTGAAGGAACAGGGTTAAAATTCTCTTGCGTAAACCTGGAAAACAACGACAGAGTTAGTTCAGTCTTGTGAAATAACTTCATATACAGCAGCTGAATGTTTGACAGCGTTTTTTGTGTGCTCTAAAGTAACAGCTTCAAAGTAACAATCCTTTCTTCCACCATATACCATACGGTGACGGCCTTCATGGACACAACAAAGGTTCCGACACTCAAGAAAAGCTACGAAGAAGAAGACTTTACCGATTGTTTTCTTCATTTGCCAACCCGTATTGAGAAAACAGGATTGTGTTTAATTTTCTTTTATCCGGTTTCTTCTTTTTACCTTGTTTCAGTTACAGTCAAGTTTTCATTTCTGAGCCTGTGTCCACTTGACACGAGCATGTTTACATTTAGACCAGCTCTGTAATATTTGATACCTGACAGCGTTTTTTTTTTACCTTCAAGATTGGATTCCTTGACACCTCTCATCAGCAAGTCAGCTTCTCTATCAATGAGCTCAATAATCTCTTGTGTCAGTTTACAGTCGTGTTCTTTTACTGTGTGCTTAAGAGTCAGCAGTACGTCCAGCCTTTCATCCTGTGTTAGGTACTTCATGCTGAGCGTGCTGTAAATGTCCCGTAACTCCTGGGCACGGATAGTGTAAGGCGTGTCCATTTCAGTTATCTTGCCGTCAAAAGCTTTCCACTGTTTTGGAGCAGCAGCCTTTTCAGGGATAATAATTATAAATAGATAATTTTAGCTGATATTATGATGAGAAAAAGGCAAAAGGATACGGTCCTGATCTTCTAGGTTTTTTGGCAAAGAAATTGGGATATTAAAAACATATTCCTTTGGCTGTGAATAACTTTGAGTAATATTCTGGATTAAACATATCTTTCCATACAAGATTAATATTATGATAAAATTAACTACAGCATCCACAATGTACATGTATGCACATGACATTTACAGTCATGTAGACCTGCACAAACCTTGTTCAAGAAGTTCTTGACTCTTTTGTCTCTGTTTTCTTCATCTGCAGAGAGCTTGTGCCTATCAATGGAAGCAATTAGGTATGCTTCCTGTTCTAATAAGCCTACAAGAGCTGCCTTTCGCTCAGGGCCTGCATATAGCTCATCTATTATAGCCATCTCTTCATTACGCCATTCTAGACAAAGAAATGAAATAAAATTAGAAAGCTTTTATCACTAAAACTGGCAGCTGCTTAAGAACAGTTTCTCTTGCTATATTTCACTTACTCTCTAAATGAGCATAGAGAAGATCAAAGTCTTCCTTTGTCTTAGGATTTATTCTTCTCTCCCATTCTCTCTTAATTCTTTCAGCTCTTTCTCTCTGTTTTCTTAGTTCCTCCTGTCTCTCCCATTCTTGACGTCGTTTGCGATCCTCTCTTAGTCTCTGAACATAATTCTTTGCCAGCCATCTTCTCCAGTATGTTTGAAGGATGATTACCTAAAAAATAAAATCTGTGTATTAGGTCTAAAGGCTGAACCAAACGCTGTGATTTGCGGGAATCATTTCTAGCTTTACAAGAATGGTGGTTTAATTTGAAGACACAGGAAAGTATGCACGCCTATGGTTTAGCTTATTCAAATTTACCACACAGAGTTTTAGGGTGAAAATATACACAGAACAGCTGCTGAATGTTCGTTTTCTTTGAAAGCAGCATTTGGAAGGTGATCCTCAGATGTACTATCTCATTGCTCATTAATCAGTCCACACTCGATGGTCACACAGGCATGTGCTTACCTTCTTTAAAATTTTCCTGTGTTGTTGTTCAGCTGTGACATATTTTCCAGGTATCAGTATTTTATCTTGGACATTTGACACATAACAGCCATCCTTGGTCTAAGTTGAATTGAGGCAAATTCAGCAATATTAGTGTAGCAAAGAAGATTTAAAGAAGCAGACAGTAAAAGTTATTTCTCTTAACAATAACTTAATAAGAGTGCCAAACTCAACAAGTTACTGAAAAGATATTAATACTACTTCAGATCAGATCATGGCTTCTGTGATTACAGTGTTAAACTGATGAATGGAAAAACAGCTAGATCTTCATGGCTTAAAACCAACTTAAGAAGTCGCAAGAAAAGCTTGAAACAAGTTACTATTCAACTTTCAATACACAACTTGCTGCAAGGTTGCAAAACAGGTAAGACTAATTAAAAATAACACTTTCATAAAGGCATTCATTACTTTATCATTGGGACAGACACTTGATAGATTTTAATTTCAACAACTGAGCAGGTAGTATTAATGCACAGTCATATAAAATACTTCTAATTAATTAATTTATTTATTTATTTATTTATTTACCATTTGCGTGGAAGTAGTATTTGTTGTCTGTTGGACTCTGTTTCGCAGCTTGTATGTCTGGGTGTCACGATGAAACTTCTCAACAGATGATGGAACACGGACCTTGGGTAAGGTCTGTACAGATGCATTATGGAACTCTACTCCTGTCAGTCTATGTTTGTAGCCACCCAAAAATGGCTTTTTTCTAGTCTCTTGTACGATATAAACAACAACTTCAACTTCTTTGCCACCTGAAAATTATTAATAATACAGTTGCATATTAGATACTTTACTACAGAAACTATATGTAACTTAGGAATAAAGTAAACTAAAAGACAAAATGTGTCTTAAAAGGAAGTCTCAAGGTTAGCCCTATGTAAGAAACTCCCTAAAAAAATGCTAAAATACAGAATTCCATATACACTGTATGTCGTTAAAAGTAAGCACTTGTTACACATGGTTTAAAAAGTTGATTCTTTGATTGGTTTATGTCATTGTATGCAGAAGTCCAAAATCATTTCAAACTATTTGGGGAACTGTTCTTGCCATTTTCTGAACTTGCATTGTCAGATGTTATTTTAAATGATTTGATAAGGGAAGAACAAAAATCTGTATATATTTACCAACTTCTACTTTGACATTGACTTTATCTGGTAGCTTGTAGGCCGGTGATGCCTGCCTGTAATGTAAAGGTCTGTTGACAGGATCTGCTGACTGAATTTCTACCTGTACTGTCTGTCCAGATTGAACACCCAGGTCTGATAACACTGTGTGGTCTTCTACCATTTTTCCTTCAATGAATAACAATTTCAACAGATATTATATAACTAAATATTATATAACTTCATTCAAAATCATGGCATATTCAGATATGCCTGATAAGTCATGTCAGGCACCATTAACCAAATTCAAAAACTTTAAGTTTTACAGCAGGTCCCTTTTGCAAAATAATATAATTCATCCTCACTGGAAGATTTGAAATTTGAAACAAAGAATGAAATCTTTCATCAATGAATTGGATTTTCAACTCAGTCTTTATTAATGATGAGCACAGTAGCAACCGCAAATCTCAGACTACAGAACCATACATACCATCAAATATCATCAGTATCACTTGAGGTGGCTGGTTAAATTCTGATGAAAAATGGTTTCTTAGTTCAGAGAAGGACTGCTTTAAGGAACAAGTCATGCTCTGTACATGGCCTTCTGGCATAATGATGAATTTAACTGAAAGAAAACCGCACATGGTTGATAAGTCTGGTTTTTTTTTAACTTGGTTAACATGAAAGCAGGGGGACTGGGTCAGAACCTGAGAGTTAAGGGGACAAGTCAAAAAGGATATGAAATTCTATCCCTAACATAGCAGGAACCACGAGAAACAAAAAAATTAAAAATTTACAAAACTATGTAATATTTTGCAAAAAGCACCAAGAGCTTCTGGTGACAGCCAACACTAAGGAGGATACAGGAACCAAGAGGGAAGGCTGTAATCATTCTGGCTAAAGTTGAGGCTGTAATAGTTCACCTTTCGGCTAGGTATGTGAAAAGGGCAGATGGATGATGGGTGTGAGATCGAAGTTTACAAACCACATCCACGTCTAAGACATGGGAGCTAGTTGGCAGGTTTATGTAAGTGAGTGCAGAAGAACAACTTCCCAAGTACTGCAACAAAATGTGCGATTTAGAGGCAGTTCTTAGGATATTGTAAAAGGGAATCAAGTGTTCCATTTAATTTACCGTTTGCGGTAAAGCCATCCTTAGCTATTCCCCCAGACTCAGGGTGACCTGTGACATTTTTCGCTGGGATTTCATTATCTATAGACTTCTCAGCTTTGGATGTAGGAGGAGCCACTAGAGGTGAGTCGCTTTCTGACTGTGTTTCGATCACTCTGTTATCTCCTTTCCCTGGACTGTCGACAGAAACACCCGCATTCCCAATGGGTGATTCTCTGCCCTCAGTTTGAGCATTCGCTTCTTGCGTTACGACGTCTTTATCTGGTTCTGAAATAACAACAGACATGGCTGGTTCATCCATTTTTGGATCCTCTTTTTGACTCGCTGGACTTTGTTGTTCTTCGGGAGGGTTTTCGCTAATTTCTTCAGTAGTAATTGAGTTCTTAGGATCAATACTCGCATCGACAACTTCGTTCTTTTCTTTTTTCTCCTCATCATCTTTTTCAGCAACATCTTCTTTCTCCGTAACTGTGACGACTTGTGCAGAATCATGATCAATATCGCCGCCATTTTGATCGACGGGCTGTGTTGGATCGACGGCAATTCCTACTTGAGGGGAATCTTCTTTCGTCTGTTGCTCCTCGCTGTTGCCGTCATTTGCAACTTTATTCTCTACACCTTCTCCCTCGGCAGACATTTTTCACAAAAGCTGTTTGATTCCTGACAAGTTTTCCGAACAGCTTCAAAATATGGTCGGACTCTTTTTGTCTCGCTGTTTCTGAGATTGCTGTTTCCATAGAAACAGCTGGCTTGGAAAATCGCAGTCTCAAAATTACTGTTTCCCGCTAAAATTTGTAACAAAAGTTTGTGAAATTTGCAACTTGAGAACTTTTAGCTTTTACCCTGCGAAACAAACGGTTAAAAACAACAAGATAAGAGAGGAAAACTGAAAAAACAAAGTAGAAAATAATACAAAAAAAAAACCGAAACCTGGATACAAAGCCAAGTATTGTGACGTCATAAGTAAAGTTTGGAAGCAGCGTGGTTACCCAGCTTTATAAGGCCTGGCCACTCAATAGTCTCTCTCTTTCGACCTCACTAGGCGAGTCACGTTGGAAAACGTCAGTTTCCAGACGAAGTTCTCCGGTTTCTCTCAGCTGAACCTTTTGTGGGGCTTTTACGAAAGCAGCTGCACATCATCAGGAAAGAATAGAATAAAGCAAACACCGCCTTATAGTTTGATGAGTGCAGTAGATGTCATCATATCCTGATCAGGAGACGGTCGCAGCGCCTCCAGCGAAAAGACGGAAAACTTCTAACTCGGACGGTGTTACGAATTCTTTGTCCCAAGAAAATCATTCAGCAGAAAAGGTAAGAAAGAAGTTTATTTAACTTTGAGAGTTTATTCTTAAACATTTGCAGTTATCTGTTAGTGATAGTTTTTTTTGGAATCGTTTGCCTGTTCTCAATATATGCAGGCCTCTATGTCGGACGGAAGTATGGACAATCAAATGCAGATAGACGAAGGACTTTATTCTCGGCAACTGTAAGTTAAGTTTTTACGTAAACAGTGGTGTGTTTAAAGAATTCATATATGGTGAATAAGGCGTGAAGATGATTGCAGCATCGCGAGCTTTGTACTTTCTCTTGTAGTTTCGTACTGAAGATCAAACCTGTGATTCGTGTTAAGTGCATTGAGTTAATTAGTCAGCACTTTCATTTTCAGTGCCAAGCGGTTTTGGTGTTTTGTCCATAATTATACCAAGATCTGAGAATTATGAATGTGCACTCTCCTTCTTACCCGTGCCTGGCTGACAGACATTTTTAGTCAGGATTTAACAGAAAATTCACAAACTGCACTTTTTTCTGCATTGGTTACATGCACCAATTCATCTAGTAAGCAAACAGTCAGAGTTCTCCCAGAAGTTTGTAGTAGACTAAAATAATTTGTTGTTGGCAGCACTAAGCACTCTAAAGCCCCAGCCAAGTGATTGCAACATTTCAGTGTAACATATCGCAACATTGTTGTGTGCAACATGTTGCGCGCATTTGACCACCCTGTTGCGACAGGGCAGGTGTGTTTTGCAGGTTGCAGATTGCAGATTGAAAAATCAACTTTTAAGTCCGAGTGAGTCTACCTAGCACTTTGGTTAGCCTGAATAGCACTCCAGCTAGCCTAAATTAGCTTAGGTTGCTTGCAGTTAGCCATTATACTGGGGTTTATTCGACTTCAACTCAAATAAACAAGTCATTTCAACCTGCAACCTGCAA